ACTTTACACTGCTGTAAAGCAGAAAGGCTCAACATACAGTATATTAATACATTATATAACAGTAAAACACCGTCAGGGAGCCCTTTTCTGCATAATGTGAACTTTTGATACTTTACGTACATTTCTATGATTATAGACTACTTTAACCTAAGTAAGGTTTTGATTGCAGAGTTTCTACCTGCAGTGGCTTATTTTTACGTTTTTTTACGGACGATTGTTTCTCATCTGCAATAATCAAAGTGAAATATGAGTATCATGAATAAAAACAGAAAAGACGCCATACCCTGGTGTTTGGAACATGAACTACAGCCAAAAAGGCTGCGAGGAGGGGTTTTCCTATCTTTGTTTACAACAACCTGCGACAGACTGTACGTGGCAGCTCTACAGACATATCTGGGAATTAAACTGCATCAAGGATCTAATTATTTATACAGTAAAGGTTGGTACCTAATTAGGATCCCGTTGTTTAGCTTGTGTGTGGTTGGACAAGATCAGGTTTCTGCTGTTGTGTTGTGGTTGTTACTACATCGACTGTGGACATTTTTTCCTTTTCTGTTGAAGTGCTCAACGGTACAGCTGTGGCTTCCTGGAGGAACCGACTGACCAACCGATACCCGTTTGTGGGCAAAACCACATTTTATATGCTACGGACATAAACGAGACGTAAGAAAACATACACGAGACTTGTCGTCTTCCCACGATATTACACTTGGACGATGAAAAAGAAGATGATTGTTCCATAGTCTCCTTCTATTCTAGTTAGTATGCAGTAAAAACAGTGGTGGAAAGTAAAGTACGTTTATTCAAGTACTGCATTTACGTACAAGTGTGAGGCATTTAGACTTTGTGCCACTTGGTACGTGGACGTATCTACATTTCAGACACATTTTGTACTTTCCACTCCGACATTTAGGAGCTATCACCAGCCTTCGGTTTATACAGGAAGTCACAGAAGCTCTCGCATCCTAGATCCAATCCCGATCATCAAACCAAACCTTTCTGCCTCTAACCAGGGTCCAAACTGTTGTTGTTTTAATGACGTTTTTGTATGTGACAGTGAGAGTGAACAGGCTGATCTGTGTTGATCTCCATACTGCTACTTATTGTGTCTGAACATGTATCTGGGCTATAATTCTCATATAAAGCATCATCATATCAGTTTGCTGTTGGATATGAGCTGACCAGGCTTGATTTGAAACTGCATAAATACATTTACAGCCATTGTTGATCTGTCAGATACATTAGGCTGCCACTGCTTCACCTCTGGATTGATATTGAAAGAATCTTCACATCCTGCTTACCAAAGGCTTTTGTGTCACTTAATTAATACTTGACAAATTAAATCAGACCATATTGTATAGAGCAACACATTGCTTGCAGTTTATCAGAACTACAATATATGCAATGTACTGTAAGCTTACTGTATTAAGTTTCTTTGATAAAATCACCATCAACCACATTTTTGTTAGACAGGGTTGGTGATCCTGAAAAAACAGCAAGAGGAAGCTTGATTTTGAAAGCAGTGTAATGGAAAATTTTGCTTTGCTCATATATGCCTTAAATTTGTGGTGAACTCTGTCCACACAAAATATATGAACTGTCTGCTCAGCAAAAGATACCATAAATGTCAGGTTTGCCCACCTGCACCTGCCTCTCTCACTTCTCTCCCTCTATTTTAGCTCCCTTACCCCTGATTTCTTTATCTGACACACATGGGCACATCAGAATAACTAAGCATTTAACAGCCTGAGCTAGACATCCTGTCTCCACTAAACATTTCTAGACAACAAATCTTTGAATATCTATCTAACTAAGAAATTACCTAACAAGTCTATGGGAACTATATGTACTGTACTGTACGCTGACTGTATTCAGCTTCACTTAGAAGTCACCATCAACCACACATTTATTTGGTCAACATAAACCTTCAGAGTGCAAATACCAACTAAAAAAGTAACAATCGCTGTAATTATACAAGAAATGGTACGATTCTATATAACCTCATGTTGTCCACCCAGCATCTCAATCAGCTCTGAGATCAGGGGAGAGCAAGGTGTTTTCCATCATACCCTGAGGTGTCACACTCAGTGGCATTACCAAAAACTAACTGACATGCACTGTGATCAATTCACTGTGGATCTTGGTCATCTTGAATGTGCCTGTAGACATGGACATGAGGAGCTGTTCACAGACAGTCCTTGTGTTACTACTTATATGTATTTGATGACTTTAATTCTTTTTCAGAATCAGGAGGGGGAAGGAGATGAGAGCAGGGGGAGGGGAAAGAAACTTAGAGCATCATGGGAGGCCCTCCAGCAGTCCAGGCCTAACTACAGTATAAGCTTTGTCAAAAAGTAAAGCTATAACACAGCCTCTATGATCCAAGCCTAGGGCTTTTATCTTTAATAATTGTATCAGATTTTCATATCATTTTATTTTCTTTTTGTTTTGAAGCTGTCAAACTTGTTTAAAGCAATAGGAGCATAATCCTGCAGAGCATCAGTGGAAACAAATCTTGTCTGTTCATCTCAGGGTGTGGTGTCTACAATGCAATATTTACTAAACATCATCTTGAGAAGACTCATAAAAACAGGAAGCAGATGAATGGAAATGATAAATGATTTACAGTACTTCCAGTTTCACAGTAGAAATGGCTGAGAGGAAGAGGAAGAGGTCTGCCTCCACAGGGTCCTCCATGGTGTCAGACAGATCCTCTGATCAGCCAGCCAGCTCCTGCAGAGGGTCACCAGGGATGTAAGTTTCAGCCCATCTGAGGGGGTGGTGTCCGCTGCAGTGGAGCGTTTTAAGTTTTGCCTTATTTAACAAGTTTTTTAAAGTCCAGAAACCGACGTGATGGTGTAAAATTATTGTCAAATGGAAATAATTTGCAACAGAATTTAACCCCAAGAACTGTACTGGGGGCGGCTGTGGCTCAGGAGGCAGAGTGGGTCGTTTCCTAACTGGAGGATTAGCGGTTCGATTCCTGGCTTGTCCAGTCAACATGTCGAGGTGTCCTTGAGCAAGACACTGAACCCCCAGTTGCTCCCGGTGATGTCACGAGCTTGGGAGTGCGAATGGGTGACTGGGCGAATAATGTGAAAGCGCTTTGAGTGTGCTGTAAAAGCATAGAAAGGCGCTATACAAGTATAAGACCATTTACCATACTGGCTTTTTGAATAAACCTTGGAATATTTAAAAAGCCATTATAAACATTATCGTCTGACTGACTCTGATTACAGTTAAAAGCAATAGATGATTCAGTGCCCCTGCCGATGATGTAATAATCAGTTTTGTGAGAGGTTTTTACTGTTGTTCTGTCACAGTTTTGAGTTGGTAAAACAGTTTCTGCTCTTAGTTCACAGATGACTGCAGATGGGTCCACCAGTCCCAGCAGAGTCTCCATCAAGAGTGGGGCATCCTTATACATGCCACCCGACTTTAGTGATGAGAGGCCCAAACGGTAATTCCACATTTTGTGCTCTGTAATGAAAATATTTTTAAATTGGCTTGACAGAGGCTGACGTGCCACACTGCCAGGCACTGAGTCAAACAGTCAAACGAAAAAGTCAAGATTTCACATTAAGGTTAATCTCTTTGTAGTTCACATTTGAGTGGAACTGGATCTACAGCTTCCAGTATTCCCTCGATGAAGAGCGATCATTCCATGTTCCACCCCCCCGACTTATCACCAGAAAAGTCACAAAGGTAATTCACATTTGTTCTGAAATGAAATGTCTTGCATCTAAAGGCACATTACGGATTCATGAAGCAACAAGTTGAAACAAGAGAAGCTATTTCATACTGTGTCATTAGTTAGTGTCATCAGTTACAACAATTTTTTTAAAAATAGACACACACACAATATAATGCAGTGCTACTTCCTGCATATCAGCTTTGTAAATCACTTGGCATGGTTCTCCTTTTGAAGGAGAAATTTACATCCCTTTGTTTTGCAAGAATTCAAATGAATACTGTTTTGGGCACCATCTACGAAAATGGTCTCCTTATTTCAATACAGCCAATCAAATATTGCATAAAACAGTAACTCGACCAGACAACAGCCTGCAACATAAAAGCCACGGACTTTGGACAACAACCCACATTAGCGTTCCTTCTTAGGTTTCTGTGCCATCTAATCATGTTGTCCTGCACCTTAGCTTGTTGAATGAGCTACTGAAAAGTCCACCGCTAATGCCAGTTTGTAGACTACATGAATAATTAGCTGCTCAGCTGTAGCACATTAAACAGGATTTAGTCGTAGTTGCTACTGTCACTTTGAGCCAGTTAGATGCTGGTCTAGTCTTTACTTTTCAAAATCATTGCTCACAACATAGGACCGTCCCATGACATGTAGCTACAGGACAAGTTTAATTAGTTTGCCTCTTTCTCCCAAAACACTGGTACTCTGGCAACCTGTCAGCTGCTGTCAGTCAAACAGACATTAACACCCAGGTCCCAAAGACATTTTTTGTTCATTTTAAAAATAAAAATCTGAAAACATGTTAAATTAAAAATGGGGCCAACAAATGTTATGGCATGCAGTGAAAGGTTTAGGAAATGTGAGGACAGTTAACACATACAAATTCACCTTTAAAAGGTGATTGCCACATACAGCAATCATGACATTGCCTCAACAAGTTTTCCACCAAACTGCCACATCGCTGATCTTGGATTGTTTGTACAGGAGAAGCAGCCAGTGTGCTGACTGTAGGGGAGACCGGGGGCAGTTCTAACATTTTTTTGATCTTTCCCTTTATAACTCAGACTATTTGACACTCGTTCATCTTTTGATATAAGAAACATATATACATATATGTGTGTACGAATTAATAATACAACTTATATATTGTCCCTAATAACAACAAGACTATATAGTAATACATTTAATGAAAGAAGTCAGTGTTAAAATTGCCCCTGCCAGCAGACAGTGGGAGTGCTATGTGGGCAGTGTAGACAGCTGGATTAATATATGAACATATCGGTTCATTAAAAAAGCAGCTGAAACACTTGTGGTGTAAACACAGCTTTAGGGTTACAGGAAACATGCTCAGGTATTATTACAAGCAGCAATGCAGGGTTTTTTTCTGATATTTCCCTGCCATTCATCGCCCTTTCCCCCTTGTCTGTGTATGTTAATAAAGCGCTTTAAGATAAAGAGAAATATTTTCCTCAAACATTTACTTTTGACACATGAACTTTTCAAAAGTGGTTATGTTTGCTGATTATTTCTTTGCCATTTGCTGAACTGCTTACAGTCAGCTGACCGAGGAGCCATCCAGCTGTTCAGTGTGT